AAATGATTGGAATTGTGTTATGTTCAAACCATCTTTACACTAAGAAATAATTCATATTTATGCTCAAGGTATAATTATGGTTCATATGAGACTACCTATGTTCACGTCTCTTTCTCTCAATGACTTAAAGCAGATCAAGCTAGAACTAGGAAAAATTTCAGATGACCCTGACAAGTACAGTGATATCTTTAGAGGATTTATTCAGATCTGTAAGTTAGGCTGGAAAAATGTAATGTTAATCTTAAATCAAACATTAATCTCTAATGAGAGACAAACTGCATTACAAGCTGCTATTGCATTTGGTGATGAATATCATATTACCAATGTTTAGAAGGCCAGAAGATAGACAGCAAGGGGGACTGCCAGTTCCCACTGGAGCCCAAGCAGTCCCTATCCAAGACCCCTACTGGCCTAGCAACCATATGAGAGATTGGAATAGGAGGCATTTTCAGACATGTGTTCTTGAAGGTCTGTGGAGGATAAGAGCTAGGCCATTCAATTATTTTAAACTGTCAGCAATTCAACAAGAAAAAAAGGAACACCCCCTGGCTTTCTTAGAACGTTTACTAGAGGCACTGATAAAATATACCTCCCTAGATCCTAATTCAGTAGAGGGACAAATTGTTCTTAAAGATAAGCTCATTACTCAGTCAGCCCCAGTTACTAGAAAAAAGCTACAAAAGATAGCTTTTGCTCGAGATAGCTCACTTGATACTTTAGTAAAAACTGCCTCCTTAGTATTCTATAATGGGACTGGGAGAAAACCAGCGAGAGAAATCAAAGAGATCAAAAAGAGGCTGCCTTTGTTGTGGCTCAAAAAAAAAAAACAAAACAAAACCCCAAAACAGACCCTAAGTCTGATTCTCTGGGTTCCAAGAAGAACTCAGCGACTAAGTTCATCTGCTACTGTTTTCAAAAGCCAGGGCCGCCTTAAGGGGGACTGCCTTAAGAGGCCCCCAAGCCACGCCCTGACTGCCAAGGCAGCCACTAGAAGCCAGACTGCACTCTGAGGCAGAGGCCCCAGAGCTCAGACTCATCTTGCCAGGTGGTCCAAAAAGACTAAAGGGCCAGGACTGCCTCCTCCGCTGGTCAGACTGTCATCTCCACAGAGGGGCCCTGAGGAACCGTGACTAGAGGAAAAAGAAATCAGCCTATTGCTGGACATTGGCACAGCTCTCTGTCCTTCTCCAACCCTGACCTTCCTTCTAGTCTTTATACCTTGATAAAAGCCATCACTAAAAACATATATCTCATATTGTGAACTGTAACTGGAATAACTTTCTCTTCACTCATTCCCTTTAGTTATGCCTAAAAAGCCCAGCTCTCATCCTGGAGAGATTTTATCCTGTCTAAACACAGTAATATATACTCAAGTTGCCAACTAATCAAAATGATGCTGAGAATGGTTTTTACAAATGTAATACATATTGTTATTCATGTACAAAAACTTGAGAGCTTTTTTCATTGGTCAAAATAAGGTGTTAACCTGGTTTTTTATAAGCCATTAAAATTTTGGAGATAATTTTAACTAAAGCTAGAGAAGCTTATGACAAAATGTTAGACTCCATCAGTAAAGGGGTCTAAGAGTCAGTGGATTACAATTGCTATCCTTGGGGCTGGGGATTTAGCTCAGCGGCAAAAAGCGCCTGCCTGGCAAGTGCAAGGTCGTGAGTTCGGTTCCCGGTACCGGAGAAAAACCAAAAAAAAACAAAAAAAACCCAAACAATTGCTATCCTTTATTTATTTATTTATTTATTTTTAGTTTTTCTCCGGTACCAGGAACTGAACTCACGACCTTGCGCTTGCCAGGCAGGTGCTTTGCCACTGAGCTAAATCCCCAGCCCCTACAATTGCTATCCTTTAAAAACAGTTTCTAAACTTACGTGTCAGCTCTAATGCTCATGCTTTGATAATACATGCTTTGATTTCTTGGAAAATTTGTTCTTGCCTAGAGGATGCCAGACCCCAGCTAATCATACAGATAAAACCTTTAATAAATGTGCTAGATTACTTTCGGATTCATTTTACTGGGATCCACCAGATCTTATCTAGGGGGAGGGTTATATGACAGGGTTATACGGTCTCTCTTCTAAATAAAGAAGTAAAATTAATAAAACAGGCCATCCTCCAAAATCAGATGGCATTAAGACATTCTAACGGCAGCACAGGGAGACACCTGCACACTTGTAAAAACTAACTGTTGTGTGTACATTCCTGATTCTTCTGCTAATATCACAATAGCTGTTAAAGATATTAGGTGACAGATCAATGACATGTCAGACTCAGAAATTCTTTGGCCCTTACCCTTATCGTCTTTGTGAGGAGTCATTTTTGGCTCCTCTTGGTAAAAATCTTTGTTGACTGTATTCATAATAATCCTGTTGATCTTATTATTTGGCCCATGCATACTTAATTGTTTCTTTGGCTTTGTCTCCTCCAGACTTAAAGCTATACGCCTACCCAAGATGAAAACGCCTGGTGTCTCTCGAGGGCCTTTAGACAGACCCTCTGGAGAGTATCCCCAACTGCCAATCAACACCTAGGACCTCCTTCAGCCTGAAGAAGCCAGAGTGGTCACCGCCTGTTTTCCCTCAGGGCAGTTTGGGTTAGTTCTTCAGAGGGGGGAATGTTGTAGGCAACCGAGTAGATAGAAATATTAGAAATATTATAGGCAGTCAGACAGGGCCAGGCCCTCGAAGGAGCCAGTGTGGAAGACCAGATACCTTGCAACTGCAGGAGAGGCAGGCACTCCCACTGTGGGCCAGACCTCAAGACAAAAGATGAAACAAATGCGCCCACACACCTCCCCAGGGATGGACATCAGGGATTGATATTCTAAATAGGCATCAATCACCTTGAAAAAGCCAGGAAGAGTCAATAACCCAACCATCCAAAGGAAAGACCACTGTTCTGTATTCATGCCCACTTGCTATGTGACTTGCTCCCCCATTTGATCCTGATTTAATCAATTCTACCTGAACAATTACCCCTGTAATCTTATTGGCTGACCATAGTTTTGTCCCATCTCATGCCCACCTTGCGATTTCCCATGTTTCCCACCTTGGACCTGCCTCACCTCGTGGATTTGCTCTATAAAAATCCCTAAAAGAGACAGGTTCCGGGGCAACCCACTCGGCCCCCTTCTGTCCCTCTCTGGGACAGAAGCTTTCTTTCCCCCAGTAAATATATTCTGCTCTTAACCTCCGTGGGTCCTAAAACTCATTCTTCCAGTTTAGAGAACACGAACTCGTCGCAGATATCTTTCAGGTTGGGAGGTTCTTTCCCCTACACCTCCTTGCTCCGAGCTCGCTTCCCCCACTACGGCGCAGCGCGGCGTCGGCCCGGCCCCGCCCGCACACTCTTCTCCGCTGCTCGGGAGGCCTTCCTGGGCTCGCCCTGCCTGGTCCTTCCCCTTCCGGGCGCTCAGCTCCACTCCCGCCCCTCCCTCCCCGTGGCGTGTCGCGGGACGGAGCAGGGCCCGGGACGTGGGGCCGGCGCGCAGCTCTCTCCCCAGCCTGCGGCGGAGGGCGCGCGCTCTGTGGACCCCAGGACGTCGAGGGCGCCCGGGCACGTGACTGCGCGGAGCGGCACACCTGTCCTCTCACCCGTTCAAACCGGAGGAGACGCGTGCAGAGTCGTTTTGTTTTGTTTTCCCAGTACGGGGATCGAACCCAGGGCTTTCACACGGACCTACATCGCTAGACTATTTTTTTAAAAATTTGTGATAGTCTTGCTATAGTTGAGTTGCCCAGGCTGGGCTCAAACTTGCAGCTCTGCCTCAGCCTCCTGGGGTTGCTGGGTTTATAGGTATACAGCCTCACATGCAGCCAAAAGTACATTTTTCACTGTGCTAAACCCCTGAGAACTGGGTCGTTGTGTGTGGTTTTGTCATGGCACCTATGCAACACTGACTAATACAGTTTCACATTGAAACAAAACCTGAAAATAGAAAACTCCTTGATCCCATTCTCCACAGTATTTCCAGCCCTAGCACAGCGCCTATCACATAACAGACACCTGATAATGCCTTTTCCTTTCCTTTTTTTTTTTTGTGCTGCTGGGGATTGAACCCAGAGCTTAGCACATGCTAGGCAAGAGCTCTACCACTAAGCTACATCCCAGCCTGTGATAATATCTTTTTTGAAATAAAAGAAATACATTTCTTTGGTCATGTGTCTGTGGGCTATGGGTTCGGACGGCCTGAGCTTTGGGTGCTATAATGCTGATTTTTTTTCTGTGCCCTGATAGCTCAACATGGAAACTGAAAATGAACCCCTCTGCAAGAGGAGGCGCAGGCTCCCCTCCGGGATTGTCTTCCTCATCCTGGGGAAGGAAGAGCAAAGCTACACTGTACTTTTTAATGTGTGTGAGTAGGAAGATTTCCAGGAAAGGACATGAAGGATGGGGACTTTTCTCAAAACTCTGTGTCCTTCAGAGGACCTTGGCCCGGGGATGTGGCTCAGGTGAGTGCTTGCTTAGCATGCGCACGGCCTTGCACCTGTGCCCAGCGATGGGCCAGCGGGGTGCAGGGAGGCGGAGCCACACTCCACAGGGGCCGAGATGTAAAATCAGGTGACCTGAAGTGTCCTCGCTGTGACCCCCACATGTTCTGTGCAAGCATCACTGCACAGTTAAAGAGAGTTTGTTGTGGTTTTGTTTTTACAGTACAGGGGTTTGAACCCAAGGCCTTCCTGCTGAAATACATCCTCAGCCTTTTTTTCCTTTTTTTTTTTTCTTTGAGACAGGATCTCACTAAGTCAGTAAATTGCCCAGGCCGGGCTTGAAACTTTCAGTCTGGGGCCTCGGCCTCCTAGGAGTGCTGGGATTATAGATGTACAACCCCATAAACTATCCATTTCTCAATGGATAGTTTGTTTTTGGATGATTTCTGAGATACCAAATGATGATAATCACTTGGGGTATCTCTTTAAAAATGCTTATTCCTAAGTCCTACCGATTCTAATTCTATTGAATTAGATACCATTGAATTTGAATCTTGATAGGTAGGAATTTGTATCTGTATTTTTAATAAACTCCTCAAAACATTCTCATGCTCAATAAAGTATGGGACACATTTCCACCTACTCTTTTTTTTTTGTATTACTGCTTTTCAGTAAGTTAATTGGAAATTATTGTATCATCTTCCATTATACCAGATCCCTATCTCTTTTAACTAGCTAATGTTTATGCTAAGAAACTACCTAAAAATAGCTCATCATTTCCTTCCTGTTAGCACCGGAATGGGTAGGACAGTATAGACTGTCTTCTGGTCTGTTTTTATTGTTTTTCTGTCATCAGCTTCAGATTGCTGGGTCCTTATTTCACAGGGCTTTGCAAATTTCCTGCTCCCAGGACTTGGTGGGGGGTTGAGATAGTTGCTGACTTCTTGTTCATTACAAAAAGGACCCCTGGGATCCCCTGTTGGTGGAAGTGTGAAAAGATACAACCACTTTGGAAAAACTGACAGCACCTACTAATGTTAAATATGCACCACCCCATGACTCCTCTCAGCTACACACCCCCCAAGAATGAATGTTACATCCACAACAAGGCGTAGACACCACTGTTCATGGTGGCTTTATTCTAACACCCACATGCTCAAAACCACCTTTTGGGGCTTGTCCATTAACAGGAGAACAAAGGTGACATGTTTATATTATGAAATCCACACAGCAGTAGTGAGAAAGAGCCCAGCAGAGGTGCCGACAGACCTCAGCAACATGCCGGGCAGAAGGAGCCACGCACAAATGAAAAAACGCTACGTGATTCCGTTCATGTGGATTCAGAAACAGGCAAAACTAAGTGGTAGCGACATACACAAGAACGGGAGGCACTTCTAGATGAGGTGGACGAGTGCCCTGGACAGTGAGGGGGTCTCCGGGTGGGGATGGCTCTACTCTCCTCGGCTGGTGGTTTCACCCGTGCTCGTGTGTGAAGAAGCGCTGAGCTGCGTGTGTGACTTGTGCATTTTACTTTCATTGCAGGCGGGTCCCGGACCCCGCGGCTGTGGAAACACAGAGCCCCGCAGTGCGCGTTGCCTCCCCACCCGCCCTCAGGGTTTCCTCTGCCCCAGGTGTTTCCTGCAGCCCGCCTCCCTACGCTGTTCCTCGGTTTTCTTTCTTAGCTGTTGCTGTGAGCTGCAGCAAAACAGATCTGCTGGTTCCACCGCTGAGGCAAGGCCCGGGGGAGGAGAGGGGCGGGACCGGAACCCCAGGCTCGGCCCCGCTGTGGCAGCTCCTTTTTTTCACGCTGCTGTAAATCTTCCCACTTCTGTCCCTTCACTCATTTCCACCTTTTCCACCCACTGGCTGCAGCTTCAGGGACCAGTGGTGGACTCGTTCAGGACCGTTGTGGTGTTGGACGCCGCCCTGCCTAGCAAAGGAGGATGTGGAACCGCAGAGGCGCAGACTCCAGAGCCCGAGATCGCAGGAGGTTAAATGAACACACTGGAGAACACTGTCAGATGATAACTACAGAAGAGAGTTCGCTCTGCAAGCGTGTGTCAAATCTTCACATTTCCAGCTCCTCGCGATTTAACATTCCACTCAGGACTTCACAAGCTGTAAAACCGAGGTGTCACAGAGCGGCACGCCTGAGCTTCTGGACTGAATCTGACTTCCGGTCCAAAGTGGAACAAATGTGCCTCTTTCCGCAGTTGAATCACAGCAACCTAGTCCGGAATGAGGCGGGCCTGAAAGCATAAGACATAGTCCCTCTGAACTCCTGGACGCTCTGAGTCACCTAGGAAACTGGAAGTGTGGATCAGTTAGGAGAAATTAAGGAACTTGCCAGGTGTGGTGGCGCACGCCTATAAGCCCAGCTCTTAGGAGGCTGAGGCAGGAGGATCGCTGCAAGTTCGAGGTCTGCTAGGCTACAAAGTGAGCTCAAGGCCAGCTTGAACTGCACAGAGAAACCCTGTCTCAAAAAGAAAAAGAAATTCAGGAGCCATCCTGACTTAGCAAAAGAACGCGTCTCAGTAGGAGCCGTTGTCTTCCCAGATTGCCGTGACTGGGGAGAACTCAGGGAACAGGAGTCCCTGCACAAGCCAAGCTGCCTGTGCAGAGGTCGAGTTGTTAAAGCCAGGGGTTTTCAGCCTTGGCCGTACGAAACAATTGTGTGGGGAGCTTTTAAAATCCACTGCATGCCGGGCGTGATGGTGCACGCCTGAAATCCCAGCACTGGGGAGGCTGAGGCAGGCGGATCGTTGAGAGTTCGAGACCAGCCTGGGCTACAAAGTGAAAAAAGAAAATAAATAAATAAATAAATAAATAAATAAATAAATAAATAAATAAATAAATAAATAAATAAATAAATAAATAAAATAAAGCCCACTGCAGCCGGGATCCCAGCCCAGGGATTCCAGGTTCACCGATCTGAATGTCAAGACTCTCAACAGCCCGCCCCCATGTTAAAGTGCAAAGTTCTGTGTGTGGCTGAATCCGACCCCAGCACATGGATTCACCACCTTCTCTCTGCTGCTCAGTGGACAGACATGTGTTTCTCCTTCGGGGCCTTTATGAATAAGTCTGCTGTGCGCTTTTTGTGCCAGTGCTTTTGTAAATGCTCGCTTCCCACTCTTAGATATATGTCTCAGAGTGACGCTGCCGGCTCACTGGGACCCTGTATTTCCCGGCCGTTTTCCACGGCGGCTGTCCATGTTAGAGTCCCACCAGTGGCGTCTAAGGAGTCCAGTTTTCTTCACCAGCACTGGCTGTTTCCCATTTTCTAAGATCTGAAGCCAGCCTGGTGGGGATGAAGTGCTACTCGCTGTGGTTTTCTGCTTTGCATTTCTCTAACGAGAATGAGGATGAGGATCTCCTCCTGCGCTAACTGTCCACCCACACACTTTCTTCAGGGAGGCGTTACTGAAATCCTGTGCTCATTTTTAAAGCGGGTTGCCCTTGCTTTGAGTTGTAAGAGGAGCTAGGTCCTCAATCCGTCTCACAAATACGATTTGCAAATTCTTTCTC